ATACATACATACATACATACATACATACATACATACATACATACATACATACATACATACATACATACATACATACATACATACATACATACATACATACATACACAGGATGGTCCGGACTACCCACAAGAGCCAGCATGTACATATTTCTCATAAAAAAGTGAGTCGAAAATGTCAATAACAAAGTGTTGTAATATTAATAGTTTTTAAATAATGTGCGAGCCTTTGAAAATACCCAACCGTAGGACACGAAGTTTGCGCCGTGAGGTGCGTAACTAAGCGACCGTTTTAATTGACGGATCTCGATAAACGGTATTACCAAACGAATATTACAAAGGTTCGTGAAATTTCTATTAACATGTGCTGTGCCGTTTAATACAGTATCCGTCAATCACGCGGCTCTTAGTTGTGCAAACTTCATGCTCTGTGATTGAATATTTTCAAAGGCTCACACATCGTTTAAAAACTATTGATATTACATATTTTGCTATTGACATTTTCGACTCATCTTTTCGAGGAATATGTACATGCCAGTTCTTAAGGGTGGTCTAAATCGCCCTGTATATCTATTAATGTCATTCAATTGATTGCGTTTTAGGATTGTCTACGACAATGGGACAGCTATTTCTTTAAAATTGAGAAGATGTTGTTTCTAAATGTCTTAGTAATTTAAATCTTATTAAATATTTTGAACATTTCTCGACATCTCTGTAGAAATGTTTTTCGCGAAAAAGTGTTCGTGTGTAAAAATTGTCGACTCATTAGAAACTGATTTAAGTACACGAGTGACAGACTTTTATTGTGTAAAGTTATTATCTATATATTCATAAAAATTAATCTTTACATTATTGCGACATTGTACTGGGACTCGATGAATTGTACATATATATATGCAAATTATGTCATCATAAATGTGCCATATCAGTGTTACAAAAAACTGCGAGATTTATAATTTATATAGATGCTTGTGCACAGGTTACTATAGTCTTCTTAAATTACATTTATCATTATTATCTCTCACATGCATAATTCACATAATGAACAGTTTACATATATATTTCATTTAAGTGTTTTTAAGTGTGTTTTACGTATAATATCAAAGTATATTCTTTCTATTTATGCCTTGCCGTTACATTATGTCAATTTTATTTGTCGCATTTTGTTACGAACAGGAAATCCTTTTCCATGCTCGATTCGCTGCTACAGTAAGAAGAATTACACTTAATGATTTACATTACTATCGTCGTACACCAAGATGAACTTTGAACCCATAGGACTTGATAACTTTGTACAGTACACATTAAAGAAATTTTCTTTCTACTGACGGCATTAATATCGTTGAGATATCCTTAATTTTATCTACGTTGCGTATTATACACTATTATACTCATGTGGAGAGCAAGAAAACAGATGCGATAGTCGCTATGCGTTCAATGTTTCACTGTACATACGATGAGTTGGTAATAACTAATTAATATAGCTTCACATATATTTATTGATTAATAATTCGCACATATATTCAAATACATATATATATTTAAAGTCTATGAAATATGTTTATGATGTAGAAATAAATGATTGTATTTCAACGGAAAGATCGTTTTTTTATACTTTGTTACATCAAGTCTTTCCAATTTTATTTTATCATTCTGTTATACATCGTGAAGCTATATTTGCAATATCAACGTCATGCAATTTTTCTAATTGATACATAATATATTGCACATTGTTGACATTTTACGTAAATAATTGTATCGGCTAAAAGTAATTTTACAAACAGAGAATATAATTACTTTCTAAAATCCCTAATTTTTATGAATGAATGCATTTCTGTCAATTTTGTCATTTTGCGAAAAATTGCATACGAGACGTTCAACTTTCATTGAATTA